AGTATCTCTGTGAAGTCCTACCATGGTCTCACTGTACTTTTCCCCCCACTTTAGCGTACAGTGAGGACCGCACGACCCCACTCTATAGTAGACTAGTTTGTGAGGAGAAACGCACGACTGCTGCGACCCTCCCGCCTTCTTCACCAAGGATCTTGCCAACGGAGTTGACCTTTCTTCGCCTTGCTCTCGGTGGACTTCTTGAGAGTCGCCTGCTTGGCTTCCTTCGACGTCTTGTACAAACGAAGCTCCTCGTCAAGCTTGCCAGCTTTATCCAGGAGGCGATGCATGACCATGAACTCCATCGACTCGAACGACACTTCTATCCTGTTCGCTTCGTCGAAGTCGTCAAATCTCTCGTTGGTCAAATCGTCTGCTTCCTGATTTTGCCAGCGCGGCACCCACTGCAAATCGAGATCGATGCCTCGACTGTCCAGTTGCGAAGCCAACTCCATCGCAACAATGCTCAACGGAAACCTGCTGCTGCCGAACTTCTTGAGCACATGTGTGTTCCCAAGGTTGTCCGTGTAGGCCGTCAAAGTAACTACTACATCACCAGTACCCCACTCTGCCCGGGGGGGCGAAGACCATGACCGCTGCCAGCACTCCGATCAGCTCCAACGTAGCAATGGACCTGAAGGGGTCTCCCTTAAGATAGGCCCAGGCAGCGTTCTTCCTGTTGAGCCTGAAGGAGAACCAGCGTGCCGACCTCTGACTGACCTCTTTCCAGGTCTCCCAACCACCTATGACAATCTCTTCGCCCGCAGCTTTGGCGTCCACGCGGAAGATGTCAAAGGGTTTCGCCCGCAGTGGCTCCAGGGGCCTTGTTGGCTTTCGTGCAACTTCTTCTCTCACATACTCCAGCAAGATCGCCACAGCGTCCGGGAACTTTGCGAACGTGCCACCCGCCAGCGATGCCGACCAGGCAAAGAGCGGGGACAGGAAGGGCCTCACGTGGCGTAAGGCCCCTGCGACGAAGGACAGGCGTCCTAACACTGACTTCAGCTCACGCCCGACCACGCTGCCCTGGGATAGCTTGTCATTCACCCACTTGGTGATCCAAGCGCGCTTGGATTCGTTTATGCCGCGCTCGAAGGTGGACACGTTGAGGTAGTACCCAATCCAGTTCACTTCAGTCCCACCACGGACCTTAGCCCAGGTGATGGGAATCTCCAGAAGCTCGTAGATGAACAACCACATCAACACCTTCTTCCAAAACTTTGGCCCCACAGCTGTCAGCCAACCGTCGTCAGCATAGATCAGATGTAGTAGGCCCATGTGGCGGCCCATGATTCGATGGGTGCACCGCACCGCCACCCCAATGGCCCTGCCGAACCAGTAGGCCGCACTCGCAATGCCGAAGGTTCCCCGAGTGTGGACAAACACGTCCCCACTGTCTTCACCCGGGAGCCTGAAAGCTTGTAGCCCCCAGTCTTCCTCCCGGATGGGAATCAACTTGTGTGCCCGAGCGATGTCGTACAGGACCGAGAATCTGATGATCTCACCGCTCTCCTCCTTCTCGTCACGCACCTGTCTGAGGACAGCCGCAGCGTCATCAATGAGCGGGAACCTCATGCGATCCCTGACTCGTATGCGCCGGTTGACGTCCACGCTGTAGGCGCCATCGTGGATCAGGCGCACCCTGCTGGTCCCTAGCTCCTTGGGGACAGCCCCCAAGGCAGCGACGGCCAAGCGTCCACCAAACCTCCTCCGGGCTTCCTTCTCGCTCAGCCGCAATATCGTGCCCTTCTGAACCTCCTCCATGACCTGCCGCACTATGTCCCCAGCATTCTCTTCGGCAGACAAATAGTTGTCTGCTAGAGTGTCATGGAAGTCCTCCTCTGTCAGCTCAACAGTCCACTTTTGCTTCTCTTCGTAGACCGCAGGGTTTCTGGGCATCTCCTCATCGACGCCCAGTGGGACCCCTGTAGCCGCCACCTCGTCCAAGAACTCGAAGTCCTCGTCTGCCAGAGCCTCTGCCACACTCCTCAACCTGCGAAAGTTGATCTCGGTGTCTCGGTCCCCGGACCTCCTCGCAGGACTAAGGCCCCGCTCCTCCAGCCACAAGTCCAGCCGCTCGCGAAAGCCGTACACCTCTCCCCCGAACAGGGGGCCGCCCAGCTTTCCCGCGGCCAGGAGCCAGAACTTCTTCTTGACCGTCTCATCACCTTCGAGCTCCACCCAGTCCTCGAAGGCCCTCAAACACCATCTCGCGAGCTCCCGGCCTCGCTGCGTGACAGGGGCCGTCCTCTTGCCCACTGGCCACCGACCAGGAGAGCATAGCCCAGCTCCGTCGTGGATGGATCTGAGATCTCCCTTGTACTTCACCTGCATGGGGGGGCCAATGCCAGGTCGACCGCTCGACCCCGACACCGCATTGTCCAACTCTGCATTGCACAATGTTGCTCTGCTCCGAACCGCACTGCTCAATGTTGCTTTGTTCTGCACTGCACTGCTCAATGTTGCTTTGCACGGCACTGCAGTGCTCAATGTTGCTTTGCACGGCCCTGAACTGCTCAATGTTGCTTCGCCCGACCCTGCACTGCACAATGTTGAGTCGCCCGACCTGCTCAACCTCTCCTCATGGCCCGACGTCTTCTGCCTCTTCTCGACTTCTTCTGTGCGTAGCTGACCCCTCTTCTTTCCTACCCCCTCTTCAGCTGAAGAGGGGGCAGCTAGCAAAGCCTGAAAGATGGCCTCGGCAATCGCTCTATCCATAGGTTCGGGATAGATAGAGGTGCTTGTAGTGCGAAAAGTGTCGTCATGAGCTTGCCTTGCCAGTGTAATGGAGGTCTTGCACTGACAGATGTCGATGGTGGGCCCCTGATAGTGTCCGAAAGAGTCGAACTGAGGCCATGAGAGGGGGCCCCAAGAGCGCAGAGCGTCCAGATTTGTAAGGAGCCGAGTGGGCTTCCGATATGGAGCGGACCAACAGCACTGATGAAATACGACCGTGAAGAGGTGCAAGACATTGCCCGCCTGGGCAAAATGACGTAACTCCGGCAGTTGCCATATTGAGGCCGGCTCCATGACCATGCCATCCTCTTCTCGAGTGATGGTGCCCAAGTCCTCTGGATGTTCGCCGAAGACCAGCACGAGGCGGCCGTCCTGTGTAGATGGATGGGCCTCCAGCGTCTGCAGCACTTTCAGCATGAACCGGATCAACTCGTTGCCGAGATCTGCGTCCTTCTGATGACGCTTGGACAGCCATGGAAAGCCCCATGGGTGTTGCCTGGAGCGAATCATAGGTGGGCCCCGACAATTGGCCCCGCGGACTCGACTCCATGTGGAACATGGAGGTGTGATCAAGACCACGTGGTAGTAGCCTTGCTGTAGTTGGCCAATCAATTTGGCCTGCAACCCTTTGTCTGTAAGGTCCCACTCTGGGGAGTTCTGGATATCAACTTCATGCAATTCGCATTCGATGCCAGTGCCTTTTGTCAACTCTTGCAGGATTGCTCCCACTGATGCCTTGCGGTGAGCCCCGCTAAACAAATACAGCACCCGGCATGTACGTGTGCCTCTCGTTGTGCCCTCTTGGTCCGGGGAGAGTGAGGCTGCCCTCCCCTTTCTGCGGCTTCAAGCCGCTTTGGTTGCGTCGGCCCCCGTCCCGGCCGTATCCTTGCTGCTTCCTGAACCATCGCAAGCATGGGCTGGATGACTCCCAAAGCATAGCTGGCACACATGAAGGCGACCACACTGAAACCGGCATCTCTCTCTGGGATTGTTCCACCTCCAACAAGTCTGGCGGCCATCCGGTGTCCTGTCGTGCATCTGTCGACCTTTCTTGCTCTTGCCTTTTCCTCCTTTCTTGCTCTTCCCTTTGCCCTTGGGCTGCTCGTAGGAGTCTGAGTTCCATGATGCTCTTCGCCATGGCGGACTGCGAGACCGCTGGTAGTCTCCTCTCGATGCACTGGCCGTGGAGGACACTTGTGAGTACACATTCGGCGTAAGGAAGTGCCTCTCTTTGATAGTGGTATCTGTCATGGCCTCCTTGAGGGCTTCCGCCATGGTGGCCCCCTCATTAACCAGCTTCACCATCTGTCGTCGTATCTGGTAGTCGTACGACAGCATCAAATCGAACTCCGGTGTGGCAATCACCTCCCCCTCCTTGTTGCGAGCCTTCAAACCCAACACATGTTCGCCCAGCATCAAGCCTAAATACCTGAGGAAGTGTTGAGGTTGTAGATCACGAAGGCTTGCTTTCTGCGGATATTTCAACTGGGCTAGGAGGTAGGCATTCGCCACGACCGACATCCTCTTGCGAAATTCTTCTGGGCTACGAGGTTTCTGGCACTCCCCGTAGCCTTTCTTGATCTTGAGTGTGCCCGTGCTCTTCTCCACAGTGGCCCCCAGGATGTCCGCTTCCGCGTCGTCTCGGCTCAGGAATTGAACCAAGCTCATATTCTTAAGCTCTCCTTGTTCCACTTGATCAAAGACCTGCTCCAGTGCTGTGGCCGCTGGAGTGTTTCTGTCCTCCAACTTGATGCCGTGCACTTTCTGGAACTTCACAAGTAGCTCCTGGATCTCCACCTTGTGCAAAGCCCTGGGCAGGTTTGCCACTCCTGCCTCGGCCTCGGCTTTGTTCCTGACCGTCACCCTGGCGCTGGCAGACTCCCATGCGTCGACCAGCAAGGCAATCTCGACGATGTCCCGCGTCTCATCCAACGTCAGGACCTCTGTGCAGAACCTCCTCATGCCCGCACGATCGTCGGCTACGGTGCTCATCCTGCTCATGCTCCGAATCTTGGCGACGGATAGCTTTGCTTGCAGCACCTCGTCGACCTCCTTGACTTGAAGAAGTCCATGAAGGTCTGCATCTATCAAAGCAATGGCGTTCTTCCGCCTCTCCTCCGTGTCATGACCGATACCTGCCATGTACCGATCCCTTCACTCGCGCCGGCCTCGTCTTTGCCGACACGACTTTCGACCCACCCCTTCGCTCCTGTTTGGGCCGAAAAAAACTCGCACCGCGTTCATTCACCTGACAGGGTTGACACTCAGTGTTTGCACGGACCGTGTGAACACATGACAGCACAAGTTCAACTCACAACCCGTTCACAAGACACAAAACTTCCGTGGAACTCTCGACGAGCGACCGACGACCCCCCGTCCTCTCCTGCCGACCTACTTAGGCACTAGCTACTAGTCCTCGACTCGGTACGGCACTCCCTGACGCGACGCCACCCCTTGCGCCCGCGTCCTACCTGCCGCACCCCACTCCTTTTCTCTCGTGTCCTGTGCGGTTTCACTTCTTCTGGTTCTGACCCCCCTTTTCGAGGCCCCCCTCATCACGAGGTGATATCTGAACCGACTGTACTCTTCACCCCGTGCTATCCTCTTCCTCGGAGTCCGTCATCTCCGACGAGGATACCTCTCCTGAGGAATCATCCTCAAGAGCATTCTCTGCCGCCGCAATCCCTTTGCGAAAGCACTGGCGGCATGCCCGGTGATATGCCGATGCCTCGGGAACTTCGTCCCCTAGCACCTCGAACTGCGAGTAATGCAATCCAGGTTGTCTATGGCATTCACCAATTCGATGCAGGGTCTTGGTCTTCGACCTCCCCACGATGGACACCACGAAGGTGCCAGTCACCTTCTCCAGCGGCACGACTGCCGGCTGCTGCACCTCCTCCTCCGAGTGCTCCTGCTCGCCACCATCCATGCGATCAGGCTCTGCCTTCACCTCCACTGTGTCATCCAACTCTTCCACCAGCACCACCGGCCCCGTGGTGGTCCACTTGGGCTTGCGGCACTGCTTCGCCTGGCCCTCACCCGGCATGAATGTCATGAGCCGCATGAGCTGCTCATCGATCTCTTCCTGCGAGTACTTCACGCCCTTCATTCTCTGCTCGACCAACTGCACCACCATCGTCTCATCGAACGGGTCCGAGTTGGTCAAATTCTCCCGCACGAAAGCAGCGAGCACCTTTTGGCAGCGTAGGACGTTGATCCTCACATTCTTCTCATATCCCTCGTCAGCCGATGGTCGCCATCGACCGATCATCCTCCGGACGTCTTCCGGAATCCTTGCCGCCTGTGCCCAGGTGCGGATTGTCACCCGCTCGCTGTGTTCTGTCCACAGCACCCCGATGCCTGGCACCATCACCGAGGTGAACTTCTCGCCCTGCCTCAACTTCAGCTCATTGAAGAGCGCATTCGACATAGTCGAGGCGATCGGGTAGTCGACCACCTTCCTGATGAAGCCGCTACAGTCCTTGTTGGGCCAAGGCAGCATGAAGTCCCTCATGAGCATGCCCGACTCCGAGCCCATCGCCGTCCATAGCTTCCATCCAACCGACAGCCAGCCGCGCTCTGCCAGCCACGCCTCGCGGCTGACGTAGAAGGGAAGCAAGATCACACGCTTCCCTGGCCCCGAAGTCTTCGACCTGTTGATCACTCCCTTTAGGCCCCACTCGGTCATCTCCATGGTCCTGTTCGGAGTGCCCTTGGTGTCATCGAAGCGCATCCCCGTCCACAGCTTGATGAGCCTGAACCATGCGTAGGCCCTGGAGTAGTTCGTCTCCTTCTCATCGCAGACGTGGACCTCCCACGCCATGATCACCGCCACCGGCAGTACCAGCGCGTCCTTGCTTGGCTTCAGCTCCACGCTCTGCAGCCGTAGCGATGCCTCCTCTAGGACGTTCTTCACCGCCAGCGACCTGCACATCTGATCCGCCTCTGGCACCTCTCCGGCGTACTCCAAGAACATCAACGACTTGAACGCCGACTCTGGGAAAGTTCTCGCGCAGGGCTCTTCAATCATTGCCTCGATGAACTCGGCGAAGCAATCCGCATTGTGCGGCCACCGGCAATGAAAGACCGCCTCCATCCACCGTGACACCTTGTGCCACGTCTTTACATGCTTTCTCAAAGTGTTGGCTCTACGGCCTTTCGCCACCCTGAGCATCAGCGAATCTCCGCTGGAGCGCTTTGCCGCTGGGAGTCCGGCATCTCTGATGATGTCGCCAAGCTCCTTCACCCACCGGTCTCGCTCCTGCTTTTCAGCGAGCTCCCGCATCGCCAGATCGCTCGAAGCGATATGCAGCTTCAAGCTGAGACGCGTCGGCCACCTCGACCGCTTTGCGGTGCCCACCATTTGCACCCGAGCATCCACGTCGTTGTCGACGACATCTTCGAAGGTCTTTCTTCTCATCTCTCGCTGGTGCGCCACGTGTGCTTCGAACAACTCTTGTGAGCCCCTCTTCGCGTCCACGAGGTGTCGGGTCTTCGCCCTGCTAGCAGCTCTCTTCACCAGGTCCTCCATCTTCTCGCGGTTGACCGCGAAGGCCTCCTCTCGCTCTTGAACTCGCCACACGATGGCGTCTAAGACGCTGGGGTCACAGCCTTGCACGGTCGCTAGACGTGTCACCGTCCAGCCCGACCGCCTGAGGGCATCTGACTCCCAGCCCTTCAGACCTGCAAGGCTGCAGATCAGACCCCAGTCGTCTTCCTCCTCCATTGCGGCGCAGCTGGATCCCACCCTCCAGGAAACAACTTTGGGCCACAATCTACCGGTCGCTTCGTGACATGCCGTGTACTACGTACAACATGCCATATATAGAAGGTGTTGAATCTATCCCTGGCTGAAAGGGCCCCAAATCGAGCCTGATAGACAGGGGCTTTCACTTCTGTCCGTCCAGTCCTGCCACGAGGACAGGTGAGGTATGCTGAATTCGACCAACTTTACATGGCCAGCCGAACAAGAGATCGCTTCATTAGCTCCCGATTGCCTTGATTTGCGATTGGGTGAATGCCAATTGAGTGTGCATGTATCCCAAAGGCATGCGGCACCCATTGTCATGGCCACAAATAGACCTTTAGTCCTCTGGCAAGAAGCATCTCATTGATCAGTCCTTTAGTCAAGGAAAAAAGGAGCCCAAACACGATGCGACATGTGCGCTCCTAGTGTCGGGAGGTGGAACAGAAGTCGACGTTGGGGATCTGCAAGAAATCAATCAAAACGGAGTGTGAAGGCAGCTATTTCATGTGATGTAACATCTACATCTGCGAATGGAGCTGACAGTTGGGCAAGCACAAGAATCCTTGAACAATTGAAGGAATGTGCCATAATGTGTCCCATAAAGGTCAAAGTGCTGTCAACAAGTCTAGGGTCGAAGAGCAAAGGTGTATCCTCACTTGTTAGATTTGCTGAACAGAAACTTGACTCTGAGACTAAACAACAAGTCATTGGTACCCTTTTGACACATTCGATCCCATTGGATTGGCATGTGAACTACGGGAAACTGGTCTCGAAGGTAAATATGCCTCATAGTAGTTTCGCCTAGTCATGTTTCAAGCCGTGTCGGTTGAAGAAAGGAGGAATTGCCAACTAGATAGCATTTGCTTGTTTCTTATTTTTGTAAAAAGTCATTTGCCTTGAACAGTACAGCATCTTCTTCCCTTCAAATAGCAACACCAACATCTAGCGAGCATAAAGGCAAGTCTGGTTCCGTCACTATGCGTTCATGTCGCATGTGCTCCACTTGGAATCGATGTGTTTGCCATGGCAAAGATTAACAAGGACCTGGTCTGGAGCCACCACTCTTGATTCATTCTAATATTGGAAGGGGTCTTGTGTACTAATGTTCCTTTCACACTCCTTCCAAAACAAATCCTTCAAAAGGAGAGTTCTCCAACAGCATGCAACGCTGGCCTCCCTTTGCTCGCAGAGCGAGTAGCCTCTGGGCTCTCAGGCCTGGCAAATGGGAATTCGACTTTCACAATCTACCTTAGACCTGGTGCCTCTTGTTTCTTTTTAGACCGCTCCCCCCCTCCCTACTTACAGTAGTTAAGTACGCGCCTACTTAATTGAGTAAGGGCGACTAGTTTGTTATTTGAAGTTCGCTCCTAGGAACTGGACGCAGGATAGCTCACGCACTATCCTAGATTTTTAGGAAAGATCGTGGACCAAAAGACATATGAAAGACTCACTTTTAGTAAGCAATTGGATCTGCAATTAAGACACTAAAGGGCAACCCTGGACACAGCGCCTGCGTATTGCTCGCCCATTTGTTTTACCAGCTTCCCGTCCTGAAGTCATCCGGCACAGGGCCAACATCGTCGAGAAAATACCATTTAGTTCTGAAGCTGTGTCGCGTGTTTTGCACTGTCAGGTCCATGCATTGCTTTGTGACAAAAGTGTCAACCCCGAAACGGTTGCTTCCATTTGCGAAGCTTCCGTGGTCGCACGTTCTCATCAAAATCTGTGGCCGGCACCTGGCGGAGTGCCCTCAGGAAGCTGGACAAATGGTGAGAACCGTTTTTTTCCAAAAGCATTCTGGTCTTGGGAATCAGTGGAAGGGATGACGTATGTTTCTTGGGGGGAAAGAATGAAGAAAAAGAAGAATGGTCCAAAGGTCTAAAGGAAAAGAATAATTTCCTCCCTAGTAGCTTCTTGTTCCTAGTAGTTTCTTGTTCCTAGTAGTACGGCCAGGAGCCCCTAGTAGCGTCCTTGCTCCTAGTAGCGATGCCAGGAGCCCCTAGTAGCTAGGGATAAAATGCATCAGCATTATGTCTGGTAAAGTAGCAAGGGACAATGACAGCATGAGAACTGAGACCTTTGCAGCCATGGTCACCGTCACTGCGACACCTCGAAAAATCTGGGACGATATTTCGGGCCTGTCCTATTACTCCCTGTACGACACGCCCCGGTGTTCAACCGGCCTTGGACAAGCTCTTTACTGTTTTGGAAATAAAGAAAGGAAAAGGCACGGAAAGGAAGGAAAAGTTTTTTCGTTTCCTCAACCAGAAAAGTTCTTCGACAAAGCTTCTTCCTTCCCCCTTTTGTGTCCGGTCAGTATCGGATAGCTGCTTGTAGCTTTCTCGTACGATAGCCACCTGGCTTACTGGCCTCCCTTCCCGCACCCCGGCCTCTTTATGGCCTATCGCCCACAAAACTGCTAAAAAAAGAAGTACACAAGATGTATCTATAGCTGCAGTAATTTGAAAGAGGATTAAAATAGAGTGTTTGAAAAACATGGCGATCCTTCCACGTGCGTCCCATGTCTTTTACCAAGATAAGATGACCGTCTTGAACCTCTCTTCCCCCCCTCACCATATGGAAAACGTGCCTCGGCGTGTGAGGACTGGTGTTCCCGTGGGCGATGCCACGTGTCGCTTCTGGCAAATCAGAAATCAATGTCACAAGTCTTAGACTTGCGTGAATGATACCTAAACCATGGAAGCATAGTGATTGCGGATTCTTAGGGGATCCAGCAAAAGACCTCAAGCAAATCTTGTGCTCTTATGCCTGAGCTTTGTCTAGCCGTAGCAAGCATTTTATACACCTTATGAAGTTCTATGTTCGTCGCTGTTGTAGGAGGAAGCTGCCAATAGCCCCAATGAGCCCTTCAGCAACCCCTGCCTGGTATCCGTTGGATTGAGGTTGGTTCTGCCTTGGTCAAGCGAATTCTAAGGCACGGCAAGCCGCGAGAAGGAGGGCGAAGGCCTCTCAATTCCAAGCAATCTCATCGGCATGAGCTTTTCTTGGCCACCCGCGAATTGGGCCATGGTACCTTTCGAACTGCCTGGCAAGAAACTTTGAAGCTACTAGTAGCATGGTGCATTAGTAGTACAGTAGTAACAAGCTACTAGTAGTAAGGCACCTTGCTAGTAGTAGCGTCTTTACTACTAGTAGCGATGCACCTGTTCCTAGTAGCTTATTGTTACTAGATGCTTTGGTATATATCTGCAAAAGTGTCAATCAAATGAATGCAGCCTTTTTGAAGTGAATAATTGGTCAGAATTCAATGCCACGATAGGATAAGGGTGCCCATCATTTGCTGTCTAAAGACGGCAGTTTCGTGGGATCATGCCTTTCTTTTGCAGTTATACAAAACTGAACCTGTCTTTGGAAGAGCAGCTCCCAATAAAAACAGACTTAGTTCGGCAACGAGCCACAGACGGGCTGGACACAGGCCATGACACCTGCACTGGAGCAGCAGCAGAGGAGACTGGCGTGGAAGTGCTGGAGCGCTCCCCAGTCGCTTCACCTGAACCAACGAGCGGCTTTGTCTCCGCACGTGGAACAAAGAAGCATTCCTGGAGCAGGCCAGCTATGGACCAGACCAGCATAACTTGCAAGTCTTTCTGCCAATACAACTCCCAACTTGCTGAATGAGATCATTTGTGGTGAATGCTCCATTCATTCTATTGCCCGTTTCGGGGGCCTCCGGCACCAGACGCCCTGTTCCGCGGAGAGGTCACGTGCAGCACCTGACGCTTCCATATTGCTTTTGACCGCTTGTTCCAACTGCAAAGAAAGGAGGATGGATCCAAGCCCTCCACTAAGAAGGAGGCTAGGCCATAAAACTAATGTGGTTCACTCGATTGAACGTGTCTGGGAAACAAAAAGAGTCATAGAAATATTATGATAGTCTCTCGCGTGCACCAGTTTGCAGGCCTGCTCACAAGATCCTACGCGGCCACTCTGTTGCCTCAAATCGAATCACAAAAATAGGTCATGCTATCTTCTTCGCTGCATGCTATCTCCAGCTTTGAGGCCCTTAGTAGCAAGAGGACGCTACTAGGGGCTCCTGGCAGCAAGAAGCTACTAGGTTGGAGGCTTTGAGGCCCTTATTTGCAAATCCCACGCGGCTTGAAGCTAGGTGTGAACCTGCTTGACCAGAAAAGGCCATTCAACCTGATGCTTCTGCCTCGACTGTCCCACTGATTTGCCAAGTTTGACATTGATTGAAGCTGATTGTGGTTGTGCAAGTGGACACAATAATCCGGTGATGACAGGAATACGAATCAGTCTTCTTCGAATCACTGGCACAAACGAACCTGACTTGAGAGGTCGGGTCGGCAAAGTGAACCGACGCAAGAATGTTGTTGAAATCAAGAGGTGCCCCGTGCGAAGCACCAAGAATAGAGAGAGAGAGAGAACACGTCAACACAAAAGTCATTTGGACAAAGGAAGAGTCAACACTGCAATTGCAGCAGAGAGGCAGGCAAAGCAAATCATCACGACATGATCCGAGAATTTCCATGCATCTTTGCAGAAAACAAGAGTGGTGCTCGGTGTGACCTGTGGATTGATTCATCCCAACCGCCTTGAGCACTCTGGGCAAGAAACCCAAAGAAAATATGTTGATACCATGACGGTCATGACGTGGAACAAAGGCCTTTGGAAATGAGGTGGGTACCTTGAGGCTGACACATACAGCATATGCTGTGGCCAGATTCAAGATGTATTTCAGGGATGCGTATATTAATGACCATACATAGGACAACGCATAGAGGTCAGAATGCTCATGCAGACGCGTATGCATTATCTGGCGGCTTGGCCCCATGCAATGGCAAGTGCTTTGAACTGTTCGAGGGCCTGGCAGCGGCGCCACATGGAGTCCAACAAACATCGTACGAGTACCAAGAAGCTACTAGGTTGGAGGCCATCGCTAGTAGTAACAATAAAGCTACTAGTAACATCTAGTAACAATAAACATACTAAAACATTGAGGACTCCAGGGCTGCAAAATGCAGAGCCCGTCTTCTGCACTTTCAACATGCAACGGTCACGGAGTTGACGGTGCAGGCAACTGCTGCCTCGGTCACACGGCAGAGCTGTTTTTGCTTCAAACGATTGGATGATGCAACGACTTTCACGCTGAAGTCACACCGTCCATCTGAAACTGCACTTCTTCAAGGCAGGTGCCAATCTGTACTGCAGGGTGACACTTCAGGGGCTTGGTGTTAAGGATTCTGCCCCTGGGTTCCCAACGACTTGGTGAGTGAGGGCTCGGATTGCACCTGCGGGTTCAACAAAGAGGTAGAATTCGTGCAATGTAGAAGGAAAGAAAAGAAGCCAATGTCACAACACTTCCCACTTCAATTCTCAGATGCTATACTGCAGGGGTCATCATGGAGCTACCACCCTCCTCCAAGTTGTGCGCCTCGGCTTTGGAGAGAACCCAAGGATGCCTGTTCCAAGCAAGCTTCGGGGAGCGAATTGCAAGGCACTTCTTCTTGGGACCAACCAAATCCTTGTTTTTTCTCCTGTGGCCCTGCCTCCCTACTTACATACATTACTTATGTAAGTTGGCGCCGACTTAATTGATTAAGGGCGACTAGTTCGCTACTAGGAGAAGTTTGCTCCTATGAACTGGACACAGGATAGCTCACGCTTTATTGATTTGGTTCCTAGATTTTTATACATGGAAACTTGACATGCAAGTCTGAAGGAAAGGTTCTGGCTCTAGGTCCGGGAATGAGGATGGTAACAATACGAAAGAAATACCGAGAAGTGGTGAAAGAAGTGGGGAAACTGCGAGAAACGGGCTTTTTGAACCCACAATGACTATCTGAACCCTAACTACTCATGACTTGACTACTCAAGTCCATGAAAAATGAATCACAATGATTCACCCCAAGCAAGCCGTTCTTGGACTTCACCCTGAAAGGCCGCCAAACGCCTCAGGACTTGGTCCAGTGGAAGCCGTTGCGATGGCTCCTCGCGCAGGTCTTCCAAAAAAAGGTCTCCCAAAACTACCGGCTTTTGTATGAGAAGGGAGAACAGGAGAGTTCCTAACTCAAGTCTGGTTGTTGTCGACTTGCTTCGAAGCTGCCCACTTCGATGAGTTTTCGCACTTCGATGCCCGCTCCCGTTTCAGCAGACGTCGGACCAGATCCACCACCAAAGGCGGCAAGCCAGGCTGGGCGACGGTGGAGATGGAAACTTGCCGCCCTACCCTTGGCCCTGCACTATGCTTGGATCGAGCACAAATTGGGGTATCCCAAACATCTTAGGTTGGAGGCCATCGCATTTGAATGGGCTCATCAATGGCCCAACATGACTCCAGATACAGCACCGGAGAGTTCTGGAGAGTGTTGTATACTGTATAATCCCTTACTTTATTTGATCGATGCAACATCCACTATATAGTGTCTCCTACAATACTCTAAATCATGCACTAGTGTCTGCTACTCACTCTTGAGATTTGTTCGCTTGACTGGGGCCGTCACCGGGAAGAATATTGCAATCTTCAATATCCTGCCAGATGGGGATGTTCTAAGCTGCAGTGACTTAGAGCAGCATTTGCAGCAGAGTTTGCTACTCTGAGCAAGCATACAATATTGTTGCTCTAGCTCTAGCTGATCCGTAGACCGTAGACCGATATACTGCTATGCTTCATTTTCTTGTTGTCCTGTCAATCAGCATTGTGTGATTGGTACTCTGGAAGGGCGGTCGGCCAACCTGACCCGTGACCCGTGAAGACCCACCCGCAAACCGCAGAGAGGTTTGGGTGCAAATCTGACAGTTTTGTTTGGAGGTTCCCACTTACAGGAAGCCCTGAGAGATGGGCATCTTTGGTTGAGCAAAGGGGCAGAGGAGAAAGGGAACCAGTGCAATCTTGTAAGGTCTGACTGGCCTGTTGAAAATGCCACAGAATGGTCGGACTATATACTCGGTTTTCGGTTTGGTGAATCTCGAAGCTAAGTTCGCAGCCATCATCTCATACAGGAGGATGCCCACACTCCAAATATCCAGCGTCTGGTCATGACCACTTCCCTGAGCAGGGTTGCGTATGCGAAAAAAACATTGCGAAAAAGACAAACTCAACCTCATAGCCTCAATGCAATGTGTCAAAGGTCTTGCGTCATCGAACCTGGATCATTTCAGGGGCGAGGTAGTCCATGGTTCCACAAAATGTCGTGCGAAGCACGTTGGTGGCTGCGCACCTGAGAAGCTTGACCGTAGGTTGCAGAAACAACTGGAAGCACAAGTTGCACAAGTTGCAGAAACAACTAGATTGGCCGTTGGTTCAGAGATTTCCCACGGGAATTACTTTTGCACTCTGGCCCCGGAATGAAGTGTAGAATTCCTGATGCTGTCAAAGGTCTACGGAGTCTGCACTATCACCATCCCATTTCAAGAAACTGGGAGCGATGGCCTCCCACCTAAGAGCGATGGCCTCCAACCTATTTGGGTATTTGCAGACCCGGTTCTCTGGCTTGAACAATAGTATATAAATTGATGCACTTGGTACATCTATTGAATTGAAACATCCTACTTCTGCACGATTGCAAGAAGCCGCAAATTACGAGAAGATGATCACACCCTGGGAGCATTGCCATCCGAAGTCTGCAATCTTCAAAACGTCATCGTGAGTGATCAACAAGTTCTGCGCAAAAGGAACAAACTCGAGATTGAAGTGACTGACGTCTGCAAGCCTTCAAGCTCCTACCAAAGTTTGCAGGAATGTTAGCGTAAAAGCGGGTCAAGCATCTACAAGCTGCAAGCATATGCACTAGAAAGAATGGGTTGTATTCCCGGGAGAAAGACAGGAGTCAGCAGCTGTTATACAGACCACACATCCTGAGTATGCAACAGGTGCCAACTCAGGAAAATCAAATTGTTGCACTGCCGCAGTTTGTAGCTCTCTTGGAAGCAACAAATCTGTGCATCAGTTGGATAGTGTGCTGGAATACATCATGACGTTGTTGAGTTGTTGACGTGCGTCCCTCGCAGAAGTGGCTCACAAGAAAGAAGGAAAAGGCCAATCGAGCCCTTCAGAAAGATACGGCTTGTCGAAGGAGTTCTGGAGTCAAACACTAAGCACCGAAACAAGTACAAATGCATTTCAACCACCTCGCCTCTGGCTTCAAGTCCCTGTGCACGATTTGATGCGAATGGAGGTACTTCAGCCCCCGCACCAACTGGCCGAGCACAGGCAAAGTGTGCGATCGGTATGAAAAGACAACTCCTCGAGTGCTTCATCTCAACGTTTCACATTGTTGGAAGTAGCTTTCCTAATTCCAAAGAGCTCAACGTGGATTCAAGTCCAGAATCACAGCTATAAAAAAGCAGGCCAAGTCCTTGATCTAATTTACAAACCTTTTGGGGAAAATGCTGTCACGAACAAATCTCTGTGAAGAACCATCAACGAAGGCACCCAGGCCACCTGCACAAAGAAATGCCTTGAGGTCTGCTCGTTGAACTTGCGTCCCTTCTGAGTCCTGTAGCACCGAAGTTAACTCCAAATCCATTCAGGAATGGACAAGAATGATTACTCCGCATAAATGAAATTGTTCAAAATCGCCAAATCGCTACCTTTTTTGGGGGGGCCTTGAAAGTTTCCTGATCCCCAGGTACCTCAGCAGCTGGTAAAGCTCTCCCTTAGCACAATACTCCAGGAGCAAATAGACGTTGTCTTCGTCCTTGCAGCAGAGGGCTATAATAAATTGAAACCACATAGCATCGTTTCACTCACATGAGCCATGATTCACATGATGGAGATATGTGCAGGATTCGAGAGGCCAATCTTGGTCAAAAAAGAATCCGAAACTGCCGAAACTCAGCAAGTTGGGCCTCAAAATGCTTGAACAGCCGGAGTACATTCTCGTGCTTTAAGTTCTGTTGCACCATGATCTCCCGCTCCACCTCGTGCAAAGCTGCGCCATGGCAAAAGCACAGTAAGTTACTTGGAAACTCCAGTCATCCGGCCTGTTCTATAAGCTGACCACTCATCACCTCACCAGCAAGGGTGTCCACTGTGCATGGTCCAAAATCCATTTGGGTATTCAATGTATTGTATGCAGAAACAAGTCACCTTCCAGAAGAAGTCAGATTCCAACAAGTCCAAATAGCAGGCAGATTTAAAAAAAAAAAAAACGAATCGTAAAGACACAAGCCAGCTTGTTCGGTTCTAAAAGTGCCCGGGATCCTTGAGGCAAATTGCTTCAGCCGACAACCAAAACTGCTAACAGTGCGACTTCCTTGCATCGGTTCTAGCACAAAAGCACTTGCATGTGCCTATCGTCTGCAATCAGAGCATACTGCTCCCATGGTCAACACCGATCATATTTGCACTGAGAAAACTGAGAAACGTGGAGATGGATTGATCAATCCAGACTGGAAAAGGAAGGGACACCTAGTAGATGTTCTGCGCTTTTTGGAATTTTGGCCTCCATCTTCTGCATGGTCTTCAGCGCATAGACGTCATCAGTCCCCTCAGGGATGCAAAGGTTATCCAACCAAGCCTTCCAGATTCACCCACCATCGGCACTACGCCATCCACATCTGCGCCTTCCTTCTGACCCGTCGCACCACGCCAAAGGATCCTTTACCCAATGAGCGGCCTTGGAATATTGGCACACACCATGCCACTTGCAGTCTTTCTTGTGCAAAACTGTGTTCTTTCGCTATATATCCAGATTCCATGGACGACCTTACTTTGTGCCACCTTAGAAAGCAAAAGGAAAATCATGGAAAACCTCTGCAGCAAACTGCTCTAGCAGGTGTTCTCCCTACATCTAGAAAGCAAATCGGAGCGATTGTCCATGGGTCTATATGTCCTATTGGCAGAGTTAAGCATCCCGACCGCCGACCCCGTCAAGGATCTCAAAGTCAGACATCCTAACCTTCACGGAACAGGCAAGAAGGCATTCAAACAACCCGGCAAGTATGTAGTCTGATTGAACATGACTGCGATCTTCAGGAACAGCCGAGCACAAAAAGCGTGCTGTGTCATGCACCCTCAAAATAGAATGGTCCTTTTTCTTCCGAAGTTCCAGAGCTCTATATCACTTAATGCCCCATCTGAGCTCTCTTGCGTAGCGTGTATGCAATGAATTCAGGCAGTCGCTCCAGCGCATCCAATTCATACTTGACACCTCCCTGTGAGAGTTGGCTTAGCGCCTCTTGATATACATTCATGATCTCCTCCCTGGGTTTGAGCTGTGTAAGCCTCCGCTGCAGCCCACTGGCAACAGCCAGGTCCCGTCGCGTAAGTGGTAGGACATCACTGCGCTTCAGCCCAAAGTCAGACGCCCCCTCAACACCGCCGGCACAAATCAAAGGCACGGTCTTCAGAGTGAGATCATCCTGCATCCAAAAGCCAGCTTCAGGGCCAAACGCATAGGTTGCTGCAATGACTAAACCTGAAGGGTCAAAGTCCACAAGAACATAGAAGTCAGGGCTGGCGCAAGTCTGGAGGTGACGCAAGAAGTACCGCGTCGGCACATCAGGAAATCCACGGGCAGTGACAAGCACACAGGGTTTGTGCTTCTCCAAGAAGCCAAGATCGAGGAGACGATGAAAGACTGTCTCTTTCTCGACAACGAAGACTTTCTGTGCCACTGTCTGCACTTTCAAGACATGAGCACAAATCGGAGAAATGGAATGGCCTCGTGGCTCAAGAGGGTCCATTCCATCTACCCACACCGAGTCATGATCACCAGGTCTGGGCTCTAAAATGCGTAAGTGACCTCGAACCAATCCTTTGGCAGTGCCAACCAAGCGTAAATAATGCCGTGGAACTTCCAAAGTCTGGCACAGAGTTTTCAAGAGGTCATCACTCAATTGCTGCCTTGGGAAAAGGCTCACATGCCGATAATAGAGCTCCCGAGGAGTGGCGTGACGGCCACTGCACAGCAAACCGTGGACTGAGTCGAGCAAGGCTAGCAAACGCTTCAACCGCAACTGTTGACGCGAAGTGCCACCAAGAAGCCGCTCCAGCTTGATTCCCAAAGAGTTCTTCCCATGCGAGGTCAACAGTACAGGACGAGAAATGGCCCTCTCATTGGTTCGACTTGCACAGAAGAGCAAGTGAAGCACCGCATGCTCTAAAGCAGCGATCAAGTCTTGTCGTATTGCCTCTGGCCCCCAAAGCAGCTCTTGTCCTTCCACGCTCATGGCGACAGTGGGCGAAATCCCTGACTGGAGCAATAGCTTCAATCACCAAGTGCCAACTGCACCAGTGCTGCCAAGCTATCTGGCCGTCTGCTTGTTTGAAAAGGAAGCCTTCAACTGGTACCATGGTTACCTGCTTAGAAAGGAGTGACTGATTCTGGTTTTCCAGCTTTCAAGACTCTTTGTCAAGCACTCTTCAAAGATCTTCAAAGTATTTGTTTCACTTTCTTTGCACCTCATCTGTCGGGGAGTACGGCCGAGGAGACTGCTTTGCCTTGGTTCTACTGCTATAGCTAGCAGCTTTCTTATCGACACACGAAAGTCAACATGAGGAACAAGCCCCCACTGCATGCACTAGTGGCCAGGGTGACGGAGACACTTGCCTCAGGACGCAAAGAAAGAAACCTACAATGGAAGTTGTACGCTTTGTACGCTTCATGTGCAGGCAGAAATCGTCCAAGTCGATTCCACCGTACTCAGGAGACAGCTGCTGGCGTGCAACAGCTGCCTGCCGTGAGAAAGAGAGAGAGAGAGAGGAAACTCCAATGAAAGCACGAAGCCAAGAAAGGCAAACTGCTTGGAACCAGCTACTCCCGGACTTGGTCTTATCGGACATGATCCTCTTTTGCAAGGCTGGGCTTTGTCTCGTCCCATGGTCGAAACGTCAAACCCTTAGCCGTTAGCCAACCGAATTAGTTCAAATTGCGCCTGTGGTGAGGGCATCATCCGCAGCATGACTCACCTTCCAAAGCCCAACATTGAATCCAACGAGAAAGTGTGTCCAGCCCAACAATTCCTGGCCTTGGGAGCAGCATGCCCAAGCTGACCCTTGGTGATTGAAATAGAAGGTGTTGTTGGAACTGCCTCCAGCGTGAGATCATCTGAACTCTATATAGAGCTTGTTTGCCTGCGTTGTTCACACTTGGTACCTGGAACTATGGTGAAGTGCTGGCATAAAGAATTAAAAGTGTCACCTGCAGTTGTCTGCGTCACTAGAATGGTTGGCCTGAATGTGAAGAATGCTATACAGCTTGTCTGCACCACCAGTCTCCAACGATACGATACTTGCTGAAGCTTGTCTGCTTGTCTGCTTGTCACTTCTTGGCTGTCTTCCAGCTACTGGACGCTGCAGGCCGGCGGAAAATGCAAGACACGTCAGTTGATAGCAGCAGTTGATAGCATGCCCCTGAAGAATAACTTGCAGTTTCCACTTGTGCATGTTCAAAGGCTTCACTCTCAAAACCCAAGGTTGATTTATGTGTGCCTTCTCCTCCCTCCCCTATAAGTCAAGCTCTCGGATTGATTTGTCTCATGGCTCTTCCATGTGCCGTGATAGCTCATAGAGGCAAATGGCAGCTGCATGGGCCACATTCAAAGATTCTCCTTGGCGTGATGGCACCTCACATTGGGTCAGTGGCACAAGGGTGCTGCCATGCCGCCGTCTCTCAATGTTATGAAACGGTATACCGTAAAATGTATGAACATTTACCGTGTGGTGGCTGGCAGGTGACAGGTGTCAAGACGAAGAAGGTATCAAACAGGATCGAGTGTGAACCAAGCAAAAAGCATGTTTATTCCAAGGGACAGAGATGCAAGTATCGCTCATGGCGATACACTCTTTGGAGACGCCCAGCTGCTCATGTCCCACGATCAAGGCCCAGTTCCTGCCAGATGAGTAGTACGTGAAACTCGTGCATGAGGCTGGGCCTACGAGTAACGTTGGCCAACCAAAGGCGCAGAAGCCCGTTTTCTCTCAGGGAACCAATGGACTCTAATTGGGCGAGACACGAAGCTCGAACACGAGAAGAATCACGAAGGAAATGGAAACATGACACTGAAACCTACCACGGATGTCTGGAGAAAAGGGACCCCAAGGAATCGATACTATTTCAGGATGCTGAGATAAACGCCAGTGTGCAAGCGCTAATGAGAGGTGCGATTCCGCTTGGGACCCTCTTGATCCCTCTTGAAGAATATTTAACAAATGTCCAAGGGTTGCTCCAAGAGAACATGTACAGTATATTCAAGTAAGCAGGGGTGAGCATTTTCAAGTTTGAGTTGCATTCGGCGTTCAAGCTCCTTTTGCCACTTGGCCCATGAGGTTTCACAGCTTCAGCAAAATGGTCTTCTGCACAATAGATGTGACAACCGCGTTCTCTCAACTCCTTGAGAGCTTCCTGCCATGTCATATTCTGTGTTGCTTGCATGGCTGCCATCTTCTGGAGTCGCACAACGCAAACACTTGAACTTATTTGTCACCACTGAACCTCAGCCTTTGGAAATCTTACAGACCAAGATCATCGACACCTGCAATAGATTATCCTTTCACTGTTTGAAATGGTGGCAGGTTGGCAACCATCGGCTCCCCAAGGAAGAAGTCCATGAAGTAGAGCCTTCGTGTAGCACTTCTTTGACGTCACTAGAACTAGAGTGCTGCTTAATGTCTTCGGAACCTCTTTGCATCCAGCAGCTTTGTTCATTGGGTATAAATAAACTCTATATTATATTGCGGACAATATTTTTTCATCCAATATGCAATATGCCAAACTGGGTCGTCCCCTATCTGTGATGCCATGATGGTGTCATTTGTGAAGTGACGGTTGTGCATCTCCATGTTGCAGAAGCTATATCAGTACCATGTGAGAGGCTTTCGAAGCAAACAGCAGGGCTGTGGCTTAGTGTGCTTGCAAAGGTTCTTGGTGTGCTCTCTTCAGTGTCTGCGGTTGTTGAACCGGTGCCTGCTGCGTTTTCAGTGCTTGTTGGTTGGCCTTGTACGCATGTCTGCTTTTCAGCTCCGGCAAGCTATAAACATGAGAGACCTTGCGAAACTCTTGAGCACCTCTTTTCTTCGGCTGGAATGAACAGATACTTCACTAGATCATAGCCATAAGGCCTTGACCTCAACCCTTGACAGGCCCCCTCGGATGGTCGGTCTGTACGGGTACCGCCATCCGCATGTCAGGCCTTCAACGCCATCGAGTGTGAGCCACTTTCAAATCTAAGGCTCATCAACTCAAGCAACTCTACGATGCGAGCACCATCCAGATGTTTGGTTGCCAAATCTGCTGGATTTACACTGGTTCCGCACTTTCCCAACATAATATCACCATCTTGAATCCTCTGTTGCAGCCACAAGAAACATCGTGCAATGTGTTTGGCCTTACCGTGGCCACGTCTTCCAAGCATAGTCTTCGCGGCAGATGCATCAAACACCAACTCTGCTGAAAACTCACAACCCAAATCTTGCATTGTCGCAATGCCACCCAACAAAACACTCCCAGCTTTAATGCCTGCGTAGAACTCCGATTCTCCTGAACTCAAGCTGATCACATGCTGGGTTGAAGAGTAAAATTTCAACAAGTGACTGCCATGCATCAATGCACCACCTGAAGTACTCTTCCTTGTTGCGAGGCATCCACCATCATCCGAATCCGAAAACATTTTCAACTTGCTTTGCTCTGACTGTTCCGCATAGCTCCACACGAGCCTCCGGTGTCCTCCAAGATATCTTGCAAGCCGTTTCAAGCCGTTGTAGTGTCCTTGAGTAGGATTCTGCATGCCTCTAGCCAACTCTTTGGTCGCATAGGCGATGTCTGGCCTGTCCAAGCTCAAGTAGTTTGCCCTCATTGTCAAGCTACGGTACCTTGTGATATCAGTACCTGTCAACAATGTTTCATCGGGATTGGAGCTGCTGACACCGGGCGACGAAACTGTCTTGGCTGTTGTCAAATTCAACTCATTCAAAATAATCTCAACATGTCGGGGGTCTGCTTCAAATGTTGTTGCTGTTGGACCGCAATGCACAAGCCTGTTCAAGATGGCAACATTCTGAACATCTGCCTTGTCTGGTCCAAGCAAGCCCCCAAACTTCATCTCATATCTTGTGCCCATCTGTTTGTAAAGCCACATCAAATCATCTTCAAAACCCAACACTGTAATGTCATCACCGTGTATCGAAACCTTCAAGTCTCTTGTAGTGTTGACAAAAAGAACTGGGCTGCCAATGCCAGGAGCAAAACCGTTGGTTGTAAAGAAGTCTGTGATCTCAAGCTCCCAACATGCTGCGGCGTCACGACAACCATACATGGCCTTGTTGAGCCGGCCACAAGTTCCTTCTGGATTTCCCGCCTCCACTGGAAGTCTAACGTACACTCGTCTGAATATACGGGCTGTCCAATGTGCACGGCGAATGTCAACAAAAAGAACTTTCTTCCTCCTCCCCTTGCTATCGAGATCTGTGCAACTTCGCTGCAAACTCAAAAGCATCCTCACGGACTCTAAGGGAGGCGTGGCTGCGAACACCGCCTCGATATGCGACTGCCTGATCTCTTGAATGACCAAGCGAGAACGATACGAAGGATGATCTTCGTCTCCTTTGTTGATGTCAATCCAGCGAGAAGATATTGGCCCTTTAGAGTCATACTCATAAGCCTCAGCTATGGGTACAGTGTCCCACACACCATAGCGCACAGCATAGTCAATCTCCTCTGCTCTAGCCTTTCGCACTCCTGCTGCTGACAGCGGTTTGCCGGAAATCTCATCAACAAAACTAATCCAATCATCTGCAAGCTGTAAACCTGAGGGTGCCAGTTCAATGTCCAAATCGACTTCTTCATTTGTTGGACCAAAACTAAGTGCGCTCATTGGCTTCACCTTCTTCAACTGTTTTCTCAGCCCCTTCAAGATACTGCGCAAGAGAAGATTGGGGTACACTTCGCACTGCTTTGCCTTACCCCCCAAAAGGGGAACATGTCTGCGCCATACCTTGCCTGGTTTGATGTGGTAGAAAACTGTTTCAACTTGTTTGCATTGTGATGGAATTCTGAATTCTAACGTTTCTTTTGTGGCTGAATGAACATCTCTCAAATCCTGCAACAAACGATGATTTGTCAAATCAAACGTCACCCTTCTCTGCACACGTTCCCAAGATGGGCCCCCTTGGCCTGGATACTGCCCTTTTGTTGCACTGAAGTTGACCTGCCTGAAAACACTCAATGCATCCGGATCATTTGAGCAGCGCTTGGAAAGTTCCTGTGCAATGCATTCACTGTTGGTGAGGTAACCTGTACTCTTCTTGGCAAAACCCTCGCCATGTTCATCCGACACACGCATGTCCTGCTCACACATGTCGCCAACAACATGAAACACTCCTTCCTTGTCTTTCAAGCGTTCAACCGATGGCGACTTCCATGATGTAGCAAATGCTGGATGTTCGTGCAAGAGAAATTTGTTCCTCCTCATCTGGGCTTCATATTGTTCAACACAAAACTCAAGATGGTTCTCTGCTTCTGTCATTGCTTTGTCCCACACCTCCGGGTCAACTCTATGTTGATTGAGGTATTGAAGCAAGCTGTACATGCGACATGGGGGACACCCCAACAACAAATCTGGGCTCATACTCTCAATTGGCTCTGATGCACTGTCCTTCCGCTCTTTCACATTAAAATCCCATGCAACCCCTTGGTCATCAGAGGTTGTCAAATCCAATGCGAGACCTTGTCCGAGCGCCCTCCTCTGTGCATAGTCTGTCAACCTTGGCGGAGAGAAAAGCTCGACCAACACTGGACTGCTGAAGCTGTAGGCCGCCTTCACGGTCAAAGCTCCTGTCTGCAAGAGGATCCTTCGAGCCTCCACTTCCTCGCCAAGCATGAGCTCTGCTGTCTCATCAAGACTGACCTCTCTTCTCACAAGCTCAAATTCTTGGTTTCGATCAAGTGATCCAACGTCCATGACAATCGATTCATCAAGATCCTCCACCTCCACCACCACGGGCCCTCCACTCACCTCCACCGCCGGTGCAACTGATGGACCAGGGAAATGAAGGGAGGGTGGTCCTCCTGGAAGCAACTCGACCCGACTCTGATCTGGCGGCCGCAAACCTGAAGACTCAGTACCTGGTGATGGTCCAAGAATTTTGTCAAGCTCTGTGATCTCTTCATCTTCTGATTTCCTCAACGTCGCCTTCTTTCCTTTTGCAAGTTTGTCATCATCAAGCTTGCGTTTCCTCTCATCTTCTCTGTTCTTATAAGCGACAATGTACCTCTCTGCACGTTCATGAACTCGTTCCACTCTGGCTTTACCATCCTCTGTTTTGCTCAACTCATTTGCAATCCTTGCTTTGCAAACTCTGCTATGCTGACGATGAGCAAGTCCACTTTGAGCTGCCAAGCAACCATCACACCCTTCAGTGTATCCGAACTGCTGCAACTCCACGTCACGACGAATGTAGAGACCTCTTGGCACATAGTCCCTACCCTTCAACTTCACCAACGGCTCGGGTATTTTCGGCTCCTCTGATAGCTCGATCTCTATCGGTCGCAAGGGTCCTGGATCTGCAGTCACTGGTGGCTTCAACTGCCACGGCAACCCAATCAAAGACTCCAATGCTTCCTTCTTCCACTGCTCGTCCCTGGGCCTCCGCTTCACGCTCCAAGCTCGTTCAACTCCTCGATCCGTACCAATCCACATCAAAGCTGTGCCTTCTTGCAAACCCAGATACACCCCATCTTCAAAACGAGGCTCAATCTTGGCAGGATTCCGTTCACCTTTCAACCTCTGAAAAAGAACGCATTCCCCAAATGCAGGAAGCTTCAGCTGCCACCGTTTCCCTGTTGATCTTTCATAGGGAGTTCTGCCATCTTGTCCTCTACTGAACCTGGATAGCAAAGTCCCAGCATAATCGATCAACCAAGGCAAGATTGGATGTCGAGAGGATATGGCGGCCCCATAGTTAGCCTCCAAAGCTGACTTCAAGGTCCGACACATTCCCTGGAGCTTACCCACTGCATTCTCAATGGGTCCATTGGTCTCGCTCTCCCCTTTGACAGCATCTTCAAAGCCAACACCGGGAAGTCTCGCCTGAACCTCATTGCGAAGCGCCACCAGAGACCGTTCCGTATCAGTCTTCAACACTGCATCTTGCAGGCCCAAACAACGAAGCAACTTAACAACAATGGTCACTGGATACTGATGATCTGTAACCCCTTTGCACGGCATGGCCACTGAAAAAGTTCTTTGTGACTTCTCCTCCAAGATCGCCAGAAGAGGCAAACATTCCTCCTCCCGCCGTCCAAGATAAAAGTAGTCCATGCTCACCCGAGGCCTCCTCCTTGCTTTGTCGTCAGCATCTTCTCTCACTCGTTGATGTGCTAGCGCTCGTCCACGGCCTCTAACACAATGATTGCACCAACTCCTATATGGCAAATGAGTAACATTGTGCTGATCCACCTCCTGCGCACTCGGCTTCAAGGGTGTGCTTTGTGCGATCTTCTCGATCTCCTCACCCCCCACTCAATTCTCCATGCAACTCCTCATCGACACCTCCCGCGGGTGCCTCATAGTCCTCCCAGCCCTCTGGGAAATAGTCACTGGTGTCTACGTTCAAGCTCATAGGACCTGCACCATAAACATCAGAACTTGGATGCACTGCTAATTCATGGGCCTCATCACGAGCCGCTGTTGTCTCCTCCTCGGCCTCCTCCGCGTTCACTGCATGAATGAAGAATGACCGACACGGCGCCGGCCCGTTGAAACCCTCACGTGATGGATGCACAACATGCATCCTCTGCACATAGACACCTTCTTCCTGGTGTAACTGCATTCGCTCTCCTGTCTCAATTTCCTCAATCCAACTGTCCTCCCAATAGGGTGCCAACAAAATCCGATGACCACGATTGGCAACCTGAGCAGCAGACATGAGGACCTTGTGTACCTGAGCAACGCTGGACTCTGTCCCCTTCACCTTGCCTTCCTCTGTCACGATGAGGATACAACTCTGGAACAATCTCTCCATTTGCACTCAAGAAACTCACACCGTCAACTGGGGCCAACTGCTCATGCTCTGCAAAAGCTTCTGCTGGGGCAACCGACGCTGCAGCTCCTGAATCAACCGTCACTGTCAACGGACATGCACCTTGAAGATACTGCTCAATGCGACGCTCCATCTCATCAAACCGTCCCTGCTCTGCATCTGCCACAATGCGCCTTGCAATGGCCTGTGCCCTGCTCAATGCACACAAGTGTTTGATGGTCAAACTACCGGTGCTCACTGGAGGCTTTGGCAATGCACTGGACGCTGCACCTGGCGATGTTGGGGACGATGGAGTGGAGATCTGAACTACGGGCGGACTGGGTGCTGATGACGACGATGCTCCTGTCGATCTCAACCGCTGAAACTCCTCCACAGCAGCCCTGGCATAGTTCGACTGCAACTGAGACAACAAAGGCGAGGTCTCCTTCTCAACTGCGTTCAAGGGTTTGGGACGGCTCCAACACTGATCCTTGTAATGACCTGTCTTCCCACAATTGTGGCAGACCGGCTTGGCTTTTCCTCCACCTTTCTTCCCTTCAAAGCCTTTGCCTTTCCCTTTGCCCTTGCCGCCATCGGGAATCTTGCCCTTCCCTTTTCCTCCATCCTTACCTCCTTTGCCTTTGCCCTTCTTGCAATCCTTCTGCATATGAGGACCTCCACAAATGTAACAGCCACCTCCCTTGCTAACACCAACTGATCCAACATCCATTGTTGTTGATGCCACTGGTGCCACCTGCTCAACGTAACTCATGACCTCTTCACGGAGTTCAAGGTTGGTGGTGTATCTTGCGGCGTTCATATGCAAGTGCTGCTTCAAGGCATTCGGAACCATGTGAACTAGTGCAGCCATCTTCATAGCATCAGAAACACGATCGGCTCCTGGCCTCGACTCGTACTGCACGATCAGGTTCTCCCAATTCACCAACTCAGCCGCCAACTTGTCAATGCTGATCGCTGCTGCCGGGTTGGTGATCTTCATAAGATCAGCTCTTTGACGGCCAATGGTGACCGGGTTGAACCGAATCTGAAGCAACCTGAATGCCTCAAAACCGTTGGGCCTCCTGGCTTGTCGAACCAAACTCCTGGCCTCACCCATTGTGTACGTGGTCAGCATGGCGTAAACATTTGTATCTGCATACTGCACCAACAATGGGTCCAAGTGCGGAAAATGCAACAAAACATCACCTTGTGTTATGGGCGTCTTCTGTTGTGATGTTACAATCCATTCCAACACTTCATAGATACCAGGCATGTTTGAATCGCTCAATGTAATGATGCTGTCTGCCCAATCCAAAAAACTGCTCCTCCCATCTGTTGGATTGAACACTCCCGGCTTGCCCAACTGCTTACTATCCACTCCACCTTGTTGAATTGCATATGCAACAGCCGGACTGGTCCTGACGCTCCCGGAACTCGGACCTCCAATGTTGAACACTTGAGGTCCTCCCAACCCAGATGCCGCTGCCCCCGTCATCCCTCCAGCAACCTGTGACCCGGCTGCAGGCACACCGGCATGCACAGGAGGGGGGTGATGCACGGGTGAGCCACCTCCTCCTGGGGTCTGTTGTCCTTGCGATGCCGGAGGATTTGGAGCGGTATTCAAACCTGTCGCCAACTGAGCTTGTTGCTGTTGCACCTGGATTGCTTGACCCATCTGTTGCATCTGATCCTGCAATGTTGTCAAGATAGTTCCAACTTGGGTCAACTGCTCCTGACTCTGTTGCTGCTCATGATGAAATCCCGCTTGCACCTGAGATACCACCTCCGTCACAACCTGCTCTGTAACAGCCTGTGTAGCTTGAACTGCCGACCCAGTACCCTGAACTGCTTGGCTCAATGACTCGATCTGGGCTCTCTGCTGTTGCTGTTCCTGAAGCATCTGTTGTAAGGCCGAAGTCAAGGCTGCAAGATCTGGCTGTACACCATCGGTCGCCATGACCAAATAGTCAAGACTGAAAACAATCCCAACCAACACAACCAATACAATCAACGTTTGCAACCCAACCCAACGCCAATGTACCCACCGTGCTTCACCGAGCACGACCACTCCGGCTGAGCGCTCTTGCTCTAAGGGCTGGGGAGTCGGTGTCCACCTAGCCCTCATGCCATGGCTGCTGGTTGGTCAAGCGGTCCAGCTCCGCTACCATGCGAAACTCTTGAGCACCTCTTTTCTTCGGCTGGAATGAACAGATACTTCACTAGATCATAGCCATAAGGCCTTGACCTCAACCCTTGACAGACCTGCGTGGGCACCCGCAATGATCAAATGGGACAAGGGGCACCAAAGCATGTAAGCCTGCAAGCAAGGGCATCGGTTAGTATCAATTGAGCTGTCCGTGCGAGCTTCCTCAAAATCCACAAACTTCCAGAGACAATACATTTGTTTTCAGCACGGCAGGGTCACTTGACAATGGTGCGATAGCCCTTACTAAACCTTACTATGTAACCCACTCAGGTTCAGGACTGCTCCTATTGAAAAGCACCTTGGATTCCAATGTACAGCCATCAAAGTACCAATCCTAACCTAAACAATCTTGGTAGGTATCGGGGTATCGGTGCTGGGTCGTCCCCTATCGGTTGCCAAGGATTTCTTCGCCTCTCAAAAGCACAAGAAGACGCCTCTTACATGTTTTGAAAAACAAAAGTCGCGCGTTTTCAAACACGCTTGAGGCCTTGTGTGTTGCGGTGCGTGTGTTGGTTGTGCTACAGATTCAATCACGGCCTCTTCACCCTTGCATACCTTGCGCATCTCGATGCATTTTGCATCGCGCCAGTGGGGGCACTGCACATCGAAATGGATGACCCTTCCACTGAAACATTTCCTGAAATTCAAAAAATTCTTCTCAAGCTTGATGGAACTCTTCTCCACCAGCTGGTACATCTGTAGGTTTACATCTCTCTGCTGTCGGGCCATTTCCAAATCCACTTTCTAATCTTCGATCATTCCCTCGGCCCTCAACAGCTCTTCACGCACGCCGTTTGCCTGCCATGTCTTGGATTTGTTCCTCATACTTCTTCCACAGGCTGACATCCAGCCATTGCGTCACTTGAACTTCTTGGTCGTGTCTTGACCTTCGTTCTTCTGGCTTTTCGATCTCCCTGATCGTGCCATAGACATTCTCCCAGGTGACACGTTCTTCATGAACTTCACCACAGTGCACCGAAGCCAATGCAATACGTTCAAGGCCCCAATCAAGGCACACAAAATGAGTGCCCACCATTCGAACTTGTATGCATTAAGCTCAGTCTCATAGTCCATAGGTTCTCCCGCGACAGTGTCCATGCTTGCCATCAGCAGCAAAAGTCCCACACGCAGGCGTCACGCAGGTCCCCCCCCCCCCCCAGCAGCTTCCCCGCGCCCCCCCCGACCCGGCACCGCTACTCGATGTCCTTGTACTCCTCTCGACCCACTCTCTCACCAATGGAATCGATCACCTTCATCATGCTGCAAAAGCTCGAAGACAGTCGGCTAGGCGTCTCACAGTTTGTACTGCTCTCTCTGCCAAACCATTTGACTGGCGTTGTCCTGGTCCTGTCAACCGGATCTCTGTCTCGAGGTTCATGACTTTCCTCACTTGCTGCACTGCCCTCAAGATCTGTCTCGTTGCCTTCTCGGAGTCTGCCTGCAAAATGCACGCGTCCCGAGATGCATTTTCCAGAGTGAATCTGATGACCGCGCTTCAAGCTTGCAGTACCTTTGCTTTGCGCTGGCACCACATGAATTGCCTTTGTCTCACTCGAGGCCATGATGAGGCATGTGCCGAACTGGTCCTGTCGTTCTTGAACCTTGTCAGGCGCCTTTTGATCTTCCATTCTCCTCTCTTCCCCCGTGTAGGCGTAGAAGAAGTCGAGCTCGATGACATTCTTTCCCAGTTCTGGCTTCTTTGCCTCTGATACGCGCTTCTCTTCCTTCGCTCGGCTCGCACGCACGCCTGGCACCATGGCGCATAAGGCCAGCGTGTGACAAAATGTTCAATGATGGCAATTTTGGCTGCCCCACGGGCTTCGTTTGGTACTCGTTGAAGAGCTTGTTGGCGATGCTCGGCTGTAGCTTGTTCTCTAAATCGATCTTGAAGGCGATCAAGATCGAGCCAATATCCTCTTCTTGCTTCCTGCGTAGGGTAGCCCTCTCTCTGTACATGCCATTTGAAGCTCCTTCACTTCACTGTTGTCTTCTCATTGGACACCACTTCATCAAGTTCAACTTCATCCTTCTTCTCTGCAAGGACGAGCTCCTCAATGTCTTGGGCTTCCCACTGTTCTTCAAGCTCCTCTGGTCCTTCTTGCTCCTCCTCTGACCATTCGTGGCGCTTGATCTCTCCTTCAGGTTCTGGATATGGGAACACTGGTACCTCTGCGTCCTGCTCCCAGTAACCTTTGAGACGGCTTGGTGAGAAGAAACTCAACGTCCTCTGTGGATTCTGATCAGTGGTGATTCTTCTGAAAGCTTTATCTCCCAAACTGACATAGTCCTCCACGTTCTCAAGTTGTCTCCATCTTCACCTGCGTGGTCTCTCTTGTCAACTTTGCTGGACCTGCTGATGAACTCGAAGCTCCCCCAGAGTTCTCCTCCACCTGCTGGCTTCCAACACTCTTTGGCCACATGGCCTTGTTTGCTGCATCCTCCTGTCTTCCCTTTCGCTCCTTTCTCATTGTTCTTTCCTTTCTTTCCTTGGCCTTTCTCCCATGCATTCTTGCCTTTGTCAAAGAACTTCCATAGTCCTTTCCCTTCTTGCTTCGTCTTCCCTTTGTCCTTTCCTTTTGCCTTGCCTTTTGCATCTTTGCCCTTCTTCCCACCTTTCTTTCCTTTGTCGTAGGACTTTCCAATGTAGTCCACCTCCATTGGCGTGCTCTCATCTGCACTTGATCTTGTGGGAAGGGCTAGGCTGTTGCTCGAATCCCACTTTGTAGCAAGGGACTCCAGCTGCATGACCTTTGCCTTCAGTGAATCGTAGGTCGCGTGATCATCAACCCACAATTGAAGGCGCTGTCTCATGTAGGCAGGGCATCCCTGTAGAATCGAAGCCACCTTGGCGTCATCAGCATAGACATGTCCACTGATGCGCTCATATTCCGTCACAATGGCTTCGTACTGAGGGAATTGCTCACTCAATGATTTGCCCTCAGCAAACTGCACTCTTGAGAGTTGGGTCAACAAAGCAAGGCTCCTTGCTCTTGTGGCTGGTTGCATTTCCTTCAACAACAATTGCCAGGCACCGAACCCATTCTCCTGTTTGATGTGCTTCACCAGCATGGTCTTCATCTCATCTGTCATGTCGTTGAAGGTGTAGTCGCTGTTGACCTTCTTTTCCACCACGTCCATAGCTGCTGCCATTGCCGGATCTATTCCTCGAATGTAGCTGCAAAGTGCAAACTTCCAATCGCTCCACATCTTCAATTCATTGTCCCTTGTGTCAGGTTTGAACGCATCACGAGGCTTCAAATGTCTTGACCAGGATTGTGAGGCCTGGTTCACACTCAACTTCTCCAAGGCTGCTGCCACCAACCTCAAACTTTCGTCTGCCATCCTCTGCAGTTGTAATGCTTTCGGATAGTAGCTCTTGGAGGTAAGGTGTGCACCGTCTTGCTCAACTTCGAATGGTATGCCACTGTAGTTCAGGACTTCCCAAAACTTCCAATGGCTCAATAATGCACCAATCTGACCTTCCTCTAAATCCTCTCTTGTTGCTTCAAGCTTGTCCAGGAACTGCCAGCTCGCAGGAACAAACACCATGAGCTCTCGACAATCCCTCTTTCTCTTCTTCTTTGGCTTCTTCTCCCTCACCAAGAGGGTTGCCTCTGCAGCTCGTTCGCTCTTCACCCACTTGAGCTTGCCAATGTAGTCGTCCGCTTCCACAAAGATGCTGTGAAAGGTTCTTCTCTTGATCTTCACTGGGCCTGCTGGTCCTGCACCAGTGTGATAGAAGCAAGTCTTCTGGTGCAAGCCACCCACCGAAAAGCCGCTGACCAAACAGGCCAGGATCAGCAGCTCACTCAGCCACACTCCACTCCAGCTCGATCGTGAAGAGGTCGAGGTAGGTCTCGTCGTCGTGCACGTGTGCGGGAGCCCCGGCTCTTACGGCCAGGACTCCGCTACCATGAAAGGCAAAAGTCGCGCGTTTTCAAAAACGTTTGAGGCCTTGTGTGTTGCGGTGCGTGTATACAAGAATGACCGTCATGTTGGTTGTGCTACAGATTCAATCATATTTAATACTCCAATATTTTTGTTGGATGCTCAATGTGGTGGAATGGGCATGAAAGAATACGAAAGAGTAGTGATGTTGAAGGATACTGAAGGATCTTTTCAAAGATATGGCCAAAACCTGTTGATTTTGTAGAGCCTCCTAGTAGCTAGAAGCGCATGGCTATTGTGAGCCTCCACTAGGGTCACTAGGGTTTTCCTCCGCGTCCACTCCCATCCTCACCTCTCTAAGCTCAGGGCCATCCCATCGAGACACGACATGCCCGGCCCCCAAGGCTGTTCCAAACAGAGCGCCTTGGAGAAGGTGGTCAAGCGCACATCAAAAAAAGTGAACCAAATGTGAAATCACCTCATAGTTTTTGGTGTAGCTGCAGCTGGGAAAATGGACAAGCCACCGGCCCCACACCAATTGAAAGGCCACCATGTTATGAGAAATGTGTTTGTTGAAATATAGCACCCAACAAAAATGACACAGCACAAAGAAAAGCAAATGATCCGCAAGAAAAAACAACTCCGCACAAACTGGACAAACTCGCAAGGAAGTATCCACCTCAAAAGGTGCATGGTGAGAGGAAAAAGGATAAGGGCCTCTTTAATAAGGCCCTTTCAAAGGGGCCTTAGCAAAGGGAGCCTTACTTTTTGTTCCTCTCTATGCAAACTCTAGTTGCGTTATTAGCGCACTTTCATGAAAAGCACCTCACGATGGAACTCAATAAAGTCGCGTTGCTGCATATACAGTAGTCCACACTCTCATTTTTCGCTGAGAGTCGAAGCCAGAATTGATGTTACACCTCAGTGTGTTCAATTCTTCCAGCGAGCAACTCAAATTGTCAAAAACAATCGGAGGCAACGAAAATGCCAAGAAGGGAAAAGTGTAAGTTTGGATGAGGGCACTGTATGGTACTATGCATGAAAGAATGTAGAGGCATCAAGCTGCCAAGCACATGCTAAACCAACAACACAAAGTCTCGGAAGAGATTGGGCAAAGTTAGATTCTGAATGAGCCAAGTTGCCAAAATGAAAGGCAGTTCGTAGTATCTGGCCAATGTTTTGCGCTGCGCCCAGGCCATCAAGGACGAGGACAGGTAACCTGGAGTGGCCAGGGTTTTCGAGGCAAGCTTGCTGACTGAAAAACTGCTTTCAGAACGCCATGTTACTCTAACGGCGCTGATATCCTCTGCCATGTCCTGTGCCATTCCCAGTCTTAGTCAGATGTGATGTTAGTGCAAAAAAACTCATGAGTGCCTCTCTCTAGCTCACTGTGTGGGCAACTCAGAAGGCTTTATATTAATCTTCCTCTCTGCACATCAAAGAAGCCCACCAAGGAACCTCGCCAAAGCAATCGGCTGCGGCTTAGGGTAGGCGACCACATAATTCACCGAGCCTTGGGAATGACAAAACCAAATCGGCACTTGTGCACAGGCCATCAATTAGCTCAACCTTCTTAGTCAAATAGAATCAACGCATGGCAATGGTCCGTAAGCGATTGAGTGATGCCAAAGGAAGCACTGCAAAGGAGGTCTTGGAATGGCAGAACCCGAGAATGACCTGTGGTGATCTGACCAAATATTCCACCTATGAATTTCTCAGGTATCAATTCAATTCCATCCTGAACAGCCTGAAGCCCTTGGAGCATCTTTAAAGTGTATAACGAACTTCCAAACACCAGACTCACCAGGCCCTCAGATTCTCGGGGCGGGACAAGAAGCTAATAACTGACTACTTTACCAATGGGCCAAGTGCATCATGGTCTTCTTCTCTCATCCACCCACCCACTCAAACACCATCGAGGAACGCCTCTGAGTGGTTCCTTCAAAGGCAAACTCTGCCTGTTGGAGGCAACACAACTCAAAGAAGTGAGGAAACTGTGGATGATTTCCACTGCCAAGCTGTGTCACACTGTTTTGATATTCATCATCATCATCATCATCGCGCTCTTCTACTTGAGAAACATTCAATCCGTCAGTGCAGACACGATCGCACATCACTGCTACTCCCACATTCCACATTCCGTCCTCAATGAGCTCCCTATCCTGGGCAAGAAGAAAGGAACAGCCCAAAACGAGTGCTCTCATACAAATCACACCCCCCGTCTTCTCTCTGGTTGTCCAATCAGATCGCATCCTGAAAGCCTTCCGCAAGACCTCTAGGGTGAAGACGAGAAGAACAAGAAAGGATTCCTACTCGCTAATATTCGCCATGTTTCAGCTACCAAGACCTGTTCACAGCACTGTCCTGCCAGTTTCCTCTGCTCATCATCCACATCGTTGCTAAGAAGGACAGACTCCACCTTCCACTTTCAAGATCAGGTGCTGCATAACGTTTGGCTACAAATGGAGTATGTGCCTAGGAGTTCCGTTGTATCCGCAGGTTCTCTACCGTATGTCAGCAGCAAGCCTCTGCGAACATGTTCTTCCTGTTGAACCTAATTGTCGTGCAAACCATAGACTGTAGATGCAAGGAGGCATATCACATATTATTGGCACAAGAAAGGTTCATCAGGGGCTTCAAGCCTTCATCAAAAACCAAGAACGCAGCCTTCACCTCTCGCCCGTCTCTCCGAGCATCCAGTAAGCGCTGCAGGCAATCCCAGCTATAGTGAACCTTTACCTCATCATCTGCTCATGCGCCCCAAAGAGAGTCATGAAGGTGGATTCACCTTTAAAGTAAGTGGTATGTTGGCTGGCATTCCGTCCGATCTTTCTTTGGAGGACCTCAAGAACCAAGAAACGATGTCTCTTTCTCTGCGGCAAGCATTCATGCCACCAGCAACATAAAATAACCATTATAATGCATCCATCTACAGCAGAATTAGCATGACGTCCCTCTTTAGCATGATGTCCCTGTTTTGAAAGCGGATGGTCGGAAGCTCTCCTCAACGGCTTGTCGATGCCACAAAGAAGAAGAAAATGAAGTGTGGTCGATCGACACATCGACAGCTGGCTGCATCTGGAGTTTCATCAACTTATATATATATATAGTTTATCGGAGCCTCAGATCTGTTGCATAGGTCCTGGCCCCAGGTCCTAATAATGCTAAGTCCTACAAACTCTTGTGCAAAAGCTCAAAAGTGCGCTGGAGACGCAAACTTCTTGGATACATGTGCTCAAGCCTTTGTGCAACCCAAGCTCACAGAAATTGAAGAGAACTGCTCTAGCCGTTGTGTGCTTGTGTGGGTATCTCAAGATGGTGTTCGGGCCCTAAACCTCTAGTCAAGTGATTCTGCTTGGATCGAGTCCAACACCTAATTCCAAGTTCCATCCCATACTTATCTCTTGGCCACTCATCCTTCCAAATACTCTTTGCAGGGGGTTAGAGCTAGAGCGAACAGCCTTGGGTGACAAATCTGAGGGCATTGACACTTGTATTTATTCAATTTCTTCACAGTTGCAAGCGCTGATGCAAGCAGGGCACTGGGCATGGCAGTTGTCGCCACGATCGAGGCATCGCAGCAGCCTGCTCTCACAGGTTTCCATCCATTAGCCGAGCCTGGATACTGAAGGATACTGAGGGATACTGAGAGCAGGCAGTGATATCTCTGCCGAAGGCCAAAGGCACATCTTTCTCCTTGAGACTCCGTGAGCTCTGACCTTTCACCCTCTGGGAGAAGCATTCTACGCTCATCCAAATGAGAAGAAACAAGGACAAGAAGGTAAGTAGACACTGGAAGTTGGCCTCTTTGTGCAGCAATCGGCCAGCGATGTCTCGCACTTGCCGTTCAAACTCAGCATGGTTCCTCGGACTTTGTTTACACGAAGGTCTGCCAATTGTAGAGAAACGAAGCCATTGATTTGCACAGCGAAGCCAAACTGTTTGTGTGCTTTTGTCGAGGCCAAAAAGCCTTGCCTTCGATCTTTGTGGCGGTAAATCACCATCCGCGGGTCATCTGCACTTGTGATCCATTGCCTGAGTCTGGACCCTGCATGGACCAGAACACAATGGAAACGTGCGGAAGTATAAAGGTTTCACCAGAAAGCGTCTGAATGCGGAGTGTTCTAAATTGGCAATGCCAGACGAATTCCGAATTGCTAAAGCTGTTGAGAATTTTGGAACCAAAACGGGTCCGTCAGAGCTTCCAGCAGGGTCGGCAGTGGAGAGACTTCTTGCAAGGGCCTTGCCAGAACAAACCAAATACGGTGAAGCAACCCATGCAAAGCTACTGCTCTGGCCATCATAAAACTAAAATAGAGAGGCAAATCTTGATGACCGCCAGTAATAGATTGTGGGGTTCTTTTTTAGCAACGATACAACATCGACCACAAACAATGGAAATGTATCTTAAAGTACTGTATCTTATTGAGGTCCTGTCAGTGACTTGGTTATTCAATATAGAATGACCTTTGTGACGGTCAAGCCTCGACCAGCGTCCGATGCTGCGCCCAAACACAAGGGGTTCGTTCAGCCGGCCAATCATGGCATAGCATCATTCTTCTGCATCTATGTGCTTATGGCCTAATAGCTTCTTGCTCCTAGGTCCTAGTACTACGGCCAGGAGCCCCTAGTAGCGTCCTTGCTCCTAGTAGCGATGCCAGGAGCCCCTAGTAGCTTATTGTTCCTAATAGCAAATTATTCTTCTGAATCTCTGTGCTTGTGGCCTAAAAAAATCAATCTCTGCTTCGATGGCCCTGGCTGCTGGATCGAGACGTTCCTTCAATGTAGCTTGTCTTGATTTGTCTCTGTGTGTATATGTCACCATGTGTCTCAACTACAAACCAGATTAGCGGTCTTTGGCTTGATTGAACGTCAAAAAAGGAGGCAAAGCTAAGCTCCTGAGCTAAAGGCTCAGCATCGCTCAGCATCTCTGGGCGTAGTAGCTTTGTGACAGGGATTCAGCAGGGACCACAAAGACAAGGAATCACTGTATATATCAGGTAGCAGTGGTCAACTAAGGGACTGCAGCTTTTGCAACCACAAGCTCAGGCTGAGTGAATGATCCTCTCGATTTGCAGTCTCATCCGGTTGAAAGCTTAACATACGAAAGGAATAAAGGACTTTGTACTTGAAACGTATCCTGGCCACTCCGACTTGTAGCGTTCTGAGAGGTAGGCTTCCTTATCGGGAATATGATAGAAGTAAAACATCGCACCCATGGCAACAGGAACCCAGACATTCCACCAGCAATCCGAGGCGATGGCCCACCCCGCAAATAGAATCACGTCTCCAAAGTAGTTGATGTTTCGGCTCCAAGCAAACAAGCCAAGTGTGTAGCAGCGGCCCTTGTTCTCTGGCTTGGCCTTCCACCATTTGCGTTGCAACTCAGACCAGCTATTTAACCAGGAACCAAAGCTATATAAAACAAGAGCAAGCCAAAACTGGAGAAAGCTAATCTCGCCCCGGCAGGCAGCCCCAATGCTGATTGAAGACAGAATACAAGCAATCCACGCAATGACCACTGTCAACTCTTCCATTGCCAACTCACGAGGCAGAAGCCACCGAGCCATGATATTCAAGCGAGCCATGTAAACAATGCCAAAAAGCAGTAACAGGCTGCACCGTTTCCAACTCACGTATGACTGCAGAAAGTACCAGTAGAGAATTAGCACAGCAGCACATTCGATTGCAAACATGTTGGCACGAATAGTCGATTCCCTTGCCGTGCGACGGAACGTGGCACCTGATCCCATGTCTTGGTATTGTGCATTGTCCATGATACAAAGCGGAGCGTAGAGCTGTAGAGCAGTGGAAGAAGATTCAAAGTCTTGAGCCACAAAAGCTCTCCCTTACTTTTCAAGCAGTGCTGAGATTAGATGTGAACATCCATGAACAATGTATCAAATGACGTCTTTCCGACCAGCAGGTCAACTCTTTGGCTTGTCCACAATTTGTCCCGTGGGTGCAGTGTGCAGGTCGTTGCAGAGGTGTGCCTAGAAATCTGGCAGTGCCGACTGAGTATATTTAATTGTCTGCGCCAATGCATTATAATGTCCAAGCCCAAAGCATGCAAATTCCAAGACTCTTTTGCCCATTTAAGATAGCATGTCTTGAAGACCTCAATCCTAACATGCGATCCTCGCAATATTGGCTGGAGGAATGCTCAATCTGCCTGCACAATCCAAGTCCCAAAACTGAAAACTTAAGTTCACCATCTTAATTTTGAATGTTTGTCATTAAAAAGGTGGCAACCCAATGCAACCCATGCCGGAAGTTTGCTTTGGATCTAAAGATGCCACCCCGGAGGTCCCCAGATCACAGCAGGCTATGTACATGAGGGGTGATCCCTCGGATGCTCTGAAAGGCGGGCATTCAACATGGCGGAAGTTGGCCGCATGCATTGTGTCTTCCGAACAATTCAGATCAAGAATCAAGCCCCACAAATGTCTCGAACGGTGCTATACCAGCCCATCTTGCACCTCAATGCTCGTATGTAAATTTTGGGCTCAGAACATCAACCAACCCATCTGTGGCTGGCTGGCTTGCCAGCACCGGCTTCCTGCCCACATCAAAGCAATGATCCTGAAGTGGGCTAAGCACCTTCAGGTTGTGAAGTGTCCTGGGCAAACAGTCGAGGTAGACTTGACCCTGAAACGCTTGATCTCGACTGTCGTCTGCAGTGTCGTCTCCTCCGGCTTCTTCATCGCATTGTAGCGCTCTTTGAGCTCCTTGTGACAGAGTGTGCCATGATCCATTGCTTGGTAACGTGGTTGTTATATTGCCCTGTGAATGAAGGTATCATGTGCGTTCAAGGACTGGTAGTTACAACAAACATCGGCTTGCTTTCCAGGTACCTTGGTTTGCTGCTTAAAACATGACCTCAAAGGTTGAAAGACTGCCGCTGGACATTCATGGCTGGGGCGGGCATCGTGTTGAGAATCTACCGTTCAATGGAGGTGGCATGGCTTGTCATTGGACATCTCTCCAGACAACTGGCTCCTTAAGGCGCTGCAAATAGGGATTGACCTCTTCGTGGTCCAAGGCCTCACTGGCCTCAGGTGCTGTTTTCGAGAGACAACCAACCAGTTTTCTATGCCCAGTTGGCAACAACTGGGCTGCGCTTCCACACCGTACTTGTCAATGACCTCACGCTTCTTTTTAGCTAAGGCCTCAGTGAGCACCAAGTCATGCAGCCGGTATTGCCGTCCAGTTGAAACATGTCTGCACCGGGTTGCAAACCCGTCCAGCAGCATTCACTTGTGCCTTCAGCTCTTTTCGGGCAGGATCATCGGTACCTTCCTCCTGGCTTAAGCTATTTCAGGAGAGTATGAGGCTCTCTTCAAAGCACAAGCTCATACCAACTGGTTCAAAAAGATCGCAGGTGAAAACTTGTGTTCAACCCTTTCTTGCTCTTGCCGTACTCACAAATTCAAGCATACAAGGCGTGTTGGGGCCAAAAAGTAAACTGATCGTTGGGCCAGTCACCATCCCTTCGAGTGACGGCGCTTAAAAGGATGGGGAGGCTACCCTGAGAATATCCTGCCTTTCTGTCTTTCTTCCCTTCTCCCTGCCACCACCAGTGCTTAACAAATTCCAGCTCGAAGGCAAGACTGCGGAAGATATGCGAGGAGTCTCGCAACTCCTTCAACATGTTCCCACAATTCCACATGTGTTTTTCGAACCATCACAAAGCAAAAAAGAAACAATTGTGGAAGAACCAGCCTTGCCAGATTTTTTTCCCTTTCCTGGTGGGAGAGTCTCATTCAAAAGTAAGTGGCATTCTGCATTCTGGACAACTACTGCGCGGCATGAATCTGTTTGTTGTTTGCGGCAAGAAAGTGCAACAGTGCATTTGTGCAAGATATCAGTCAAAGTGATGGCATCAGTGGTAGAATAATTCATAATAATTCTCATCACTGCTACGAATATCACAAAACGGTCGTCCAGTGAGCGTCAATTCTGCTGGAAGCACCTTCTTGTGCCTTGGCAAAACTATGATCGAATCGTCACATTTGGTGACCGCTGCCACCATCCCAAGTTCATTCCCATGAAAACGATCCAAAACAAGAAAGCAGCGTGGATCTTACGACAATACAGTACACAGAACAAAAAACATCCGCCTCAGGCAGTCGTATACTCCTGAGAGTTTGAACGGCCTCAGAGCAGCAAACTGCGCGGAGTCTGAAATAGATTAGCAACGCTCTTGCACACTTCGATGTGTTCAGGCGATTCGATGTGGTCGTTGGACCTGTTCTTGACTGCAGTGCACAAGCTCATGACACACTCAAACTTGCAATCTCTGTCATGCATCCATGTCCAGTCTCACAAAGTTCCCGACACTTGACAAGTCTTTGAGTTTGTTCATTTCCTTCCAGGCGGTGGCCACAAACCGGGACAAAGCGATGGAACCCTTTGGATCTCCGATCAGATCTCTTTGAGGTTCGTTTCCACTGGATTTTTTTCACCTGTGCCTGCTTTATTATGAAAAGCGGGACGTGTCGTTTTCACCTGATAGGAATTGGACCTCAAAATGGACCATCGGTACCGGTACAATTTCTTGATTTGTGTTGTGTCATGCACATCCTAAAAATAAAGTGTGCATGTCTCTGGGTTTGGTCTCTCATGCATTTCCAACAAATTATATAAGCAAGGGTGAGGGCAACTAGCCGCTACTAGCTATTGGACACAGGATACTTCACGTTTCTATGCGTTTGGTTCCTAGATGTTGAAAACAAACTTGAAACCCTGTTCCACTTGAGCTCTGTGCCTCCTGGAGCTTCCGATGCTCCTCTTCCAGCCTCGCGACCACCTTGAAGGCAACTCGAACATGCTGGAATCGCTTCGACCTGTGCACCTACTAGGACCTACCAAATTGTTTCAAGCAAAATGGTGTTCTCGAACATCAATCGTGTGGGCAAACGTGACAAACACCGAGTGGCCTGTTGATCAAAAAGAATCTTGTTTTCAAACAACTCTTCTACTGTATCTGCCCCTTCTCGATCAATCTGATGCTTGATACTCAGCAAATATGTGACTCGTTGGTTGAACGAGGCCTTGGAGTTGCCCTTTTGCTTCTCTCCATCACCACCCAAAGCATCCTGCTGCCAAGTTAGCTGCTGCGGGTGGGGACATTCTGAAACCTGAAGCCTGTTCTTGTAGGTCCGGCCTGATATCTGGATATGTCTTGTGCGCACATATGTGTGGACAGTGTGTGTGAAGACCCTCTATCAGTGAGGCTTTTTCAGGAGGCTCGCAGCTTGGAGAAACTTGGTTATCAAATACTGCTCGGGTTTTCAGCAGACCGTTTATATATCCCCTGGTGGTTTCCTAGAATCCTAGAATCTCCAAAAGGGTTTCCCTGACAGTTGTGGGGACTGCCCACAGAGCTCCGCTACCATGAAAAATGGCGCACACTCTGTTTGTGCCTGCGTTTTGGCCTCAGCACGGTACATGTGCAAATGCCTTCATGTGTTTCAACCACCATCTACATGTCAATCCAGTGAAATCCTCTGTGTGTTTATCTGTTGATATATTCATTACCGTGATATTGCACACTATCCCTGTCTTGTGTTTGCATGGATCCAAAGTTTGTTCCTGGATTGAGTCAGTTGCTTCCAGAGAAGGCCTTCTTGACAGTGCATGTCAGCTAAACCACACTTTTTTCCTTTAACATCGCTTTGTTCGCAAGAAACAAGTCAGACTAGCCTGTCAGCAAACTCTAAAAAAACACACAAAAAAAAAAAACTGTACCAAAAAAACGGATAATCCTTGAGCCATGAGATCATCATTTGGTGCTGCTTTCCGGTGAAGAAGTGCTGATTCCTGACAGGCTTCAGGCCGAAAAGGAAAACCATTGCAACAATGAGCATTGCAAAAAGATGTGTTCTCTGATGACTTCATGACTTTAATTTTTGGGGCTTGTAAAAGGACGTTCGTAGACCCATTGCCTTTGCACCTCTAACCTCACCCCGTCATAATCAAACAAATTATCATTGTTTAACCATTTGACTGCTATCACGGTCATGAAAGACCAATGCCAGTTGGATGCTGTGTTCACCAGTTTGCTTGCCGAAATCTGGCAAAGGATGACATGGGCCCTGGCTGCATCGTGCCCAACAGGGCAACGTAGTCGTAGAAGAAGTTGGAATCCTCCTTATCATACCTGTTCTGAAGTACAAAGAACTGCATATCATTCGAGCCAGAGACGCATCGAAATCGAGTCGCAAGCTCAGAAAAACGGATTCAGAAACAAGGCTACATAAGCAAAAGCTAAGCCAAGCCTGCCAGCTGTGTATGCGGCCACTGTTTTCTCTACTGCTGCGAAAAGCCTTGGCACCCAGCTCTGACTCGTCTGACTCTGGCTCTAAGCGCACGTATATGGTATACAGTATACGGTATACTGTATTCTCATCTGCTGGAATCTGCTAAATGTTTTCACCAAGATGTTGCATCTTGTCATTCAAGGCACTTGGTAGCCATCTTTTCGTCGATGCTTTCCTCCTCCGGTACATTGAAGGTGGCCTGGTCTTTCTGGCGGAGAGGTGCACCCTGGATACTTATGATGCACTCTAGGCCGTCAGAAGAAGGATTCAGACCCCTGCAACCATGGCCAGAATCTATCGTAGCTTTTTGTTTGTAAGCACAAGTTCCTGCCCAATTGTATTGTTGTGGCCAAGGTCGAAAGAAAAAGTGGAAACAGCAATGGCGGTCGAAAAACAAGTCTTCAAAGAGCCTTCAAATGAAAGTCAGCTCGGACTGGCCTCATTCAATTTGTAGAGATCTTCAGCCTCCAACTGCTTCTTGGTGCCCAGTGTCTGCAGCAGGCCACAACAGTGACTCATGTAACATTCATGTCGCGTGAACTTGACAGAAAAAACTACTCTAATTCGAGTAATCCCCACCGTGACATTACAATCATTTGTTTTCATGCCATGGTGAGAAGCATGTTGCCATGGTCGCGTGCTTTGAGGTTCTCGACTTTGTTTGTGTGTCCTCGGGTTGTGTGCTGTGATTGTGGTCCTGTGTTGTGGTTGTGTGTTGTGGTTGTGTGCTGTGGTTGTGTGCTGTACATGTGTCTTTGTGGTTGTGTTTGTGGTTGTGTGCTCTACATGTGTCTTTGTGGTTGTGTGTTGTGGTTGTGTGTTGTGGTTGTGTGCTGTGGTTGTGTGCTGTACATGTGTCTTTGT